GGGGACCACAGGACCAGTCCCGGATCACCAGGTACACAGACTCCTTCTTGCTCCTTCCTCCAAATCTTGTGCATGTCCTGTGGTGTCAGAGCAGCTGTGTGACTCTGAGCAGGCCCCTGACCTCTCTGGGCTCTGTGTGTAAGTGGGGATAGTGGTTCTGGTTTCTGGTGGAGGCACTTCGGCTGCTCTCCAGGGCAGCGGCATCGGCCCTTCCTGGCCCCCACCCCCATGCAGCTGGGGCAGCGGGGTCTGCATCAGCCTTTCCTGCTGCAGCTGGGTCTCCCTGACTCCCCAAGGAGCAGGAAGCGGATGTTTTCAGCGCACACTCACTAGGTGTAGACAGTAAACACCGCCCCCCTCCACCCTCCCTTCCCCGCACTCTGGGGTCCAGAAGCACCTGCTGAGTATCCTCCCTGTTTGCTGCTCTGGTCCCACGGCCCCAGGTGGGCCTGAGGTTCAGGGATGCTGGGGTCAGGGCATATGCTGTCAGCTCTATTGAGGAAATGGGGCTGTGGGAGGCGTATGTGCAGCATGTGTAGTGTGTGTATGCATGTGAATGTGCGTATGTTTGTTACATATGTGTGTTTGTGTAGGGTGTATGAGTGGGATGTGTGTATACCTGTATCTGTGTGTGTTCCCATTTACATGTGGCGTATAGTGTGCATGTGTTGCATGTGTGTATGTGTACATGCAGGTATATGTCTGCATATGTATATGTGTGTTGCGTATGTTATGCGTTTTGTATTGTGCATGTGTGGTGTGTATACACGCATGCACATACATGTACATGCACGCACATACATGTGTGTTCATGTGTGTGAGTGCACGGGTCCAAGGTCACAAGGCTGGTTTGTGAACCAGGACAGTCCAGCTTCCAGGACTCTAGAGCTCTCTTTCCAGCTCCTTGGCTGGTCTCCCTTCCCAGTCAGCCTGGGGTGAGGCCCGAGGACAGGGTGCAGCAAGCCCAGCTAGGGGCTCAGGGTCCCTACAGGGAAACAGCGAGTGAAAGGCCTGGAGATGGAGAGTGGTGGGGGGACCCCACAGAGAGGCCCCAGCTTGTGCCTCACCTGCTTCTCAAGGGACCCTTCGCCCAGGCCCTGAGGAGGCGGGAGCTCCCCTCCCGGGCCCTCCGTCACCGCAGCACAGCGAGGGCCTTTCCTGACAACAGAGACCACGCTTACAGCACCTGCCCCCGCAGGGCTGCCGAGAGCGTGGGCCAGGCACTGTGCGGAAGGCCCGGGTCCTGGCTGGTTTCCTCCTCGCAGCAGCCAGGGAGGCAGAGGCTGAATGCGTGAGCGTAGAAAACGTGGTGTGTGCAGAGCCGGCCAGGGTGAGAGTGGTGGCGACTGGCCTTTGCTTAACACTAGACTTAATTTCTAAGAGGCTGAGTCCTGAGGCCAAAAGAAAGAGCTTGCTTGCCACTGGGCGGGGATGTGGTCTCCTTGGAGGAGAGAGTATGTCGCCCTGCACTGCACCTGCGGGTTCCACCGACAGGCCGTGCGGCAGATGCCTGATGCTCAATGGGGAAGGTTCCGGTGCTTGGAGACACAGGTTTGGGCCCACGTCCCTTTGGTTTTCCGAATCTCACCATTTAGGTGGCTGCCAGCTCTTCTGCCGTTGCTTCCTCTGCTTTTGTTGGCACTAACCCGTGCCTCTCTCCCATCAGAATCTTCACTTTCATCACCGAGCCGATGCCCTGCGCTGTGGGTGATGACGTCAGGGGCATGACAGCGGTGACAGCACCTCCTTCAGGACATCAGAGGCCACGCCCCTCGGTGGTTTGGGTTCCCTGGTGTCAGTCCTGTGAAGAGCCAGGGACACCTACCACAGTGACTGCCTCTGTGGCGAGCGTGGGTGTATGTTCAAGAAGAGCCTCCAACGTCGATTCCTCAGCTTCGGGTGATCTGCCGGTGCCAGTCCTGGGGGGAGGTGTTCAAGCCCGAGGGTCTCGGGACATCTCTCCAGGAACACGTTGCCACGAAGGGTCCGGGACCTGGAGCCAGCTGGTCCCCGGGCGGGGAGTGCAGACCCCACCCCAGTTCTAATTCCACTCTCATCAGGTTTCATTCCACCGAATGCTCCATTAACGAGGGTTAATGACATTAATTACTGTCCTCTTCACTTAAGAACTTGCTCGAGAGGAGCTAATTGTCACACAAGGGCTCAAGCATAGCTCAGACTCGGGTAGAACTCCAGGAAGAGCGTGTCTCCCCTTTTTGGTTCCAGTCCCCACCCTTCCCCCACCCCACTCCACAACAGCCTCCCTTCTCTCCTCTTACATCAGAGCTGCCGCTTCTCCTGTCTCCCTGTCAGTGCCAGGGAGCTGCAGCCATTGTTGCATCACCCTTCCAGGGACCCTGCCCCATGGGTGGTGAGGGAAGGGGCACCTGTCCTCTTGTGTGAGGCCGTGAGGAGCACCTCTTCGGAGGGCAGTCTGGCCAGAGCTGCCAAAGTTAAAAATCCACAGGTAGTTTGACCCAGTAACGTCGCTTCCAGGAATTTATCCTGCAGATCCCCCTCCCTGTACATGCCCACAAAAAAAGGATGTCTAAAGGAATTCACTGTGGCATTGACGGGAGAGCTAGAGGGTGGGCACAACCTAAATGTCTGCCCAGGAGGGGCCTGGCCGAATCGATTATGCGCTTTCCATAAAGTGGGGGATTGTGCAGCTCAGATAAATCGAGGCCAATCTGTGTGCTGATACGCAAAACCCCCAAGATATATTATTGAGTGAAAAGAGCAAGGGGGTAGGACATGTTACATTTATGTATAAAAAGTGGAATATATGTCCCTGTGACTGTATATGTCCACATATCTATACATCCCTGCCACCCTCACAATATAGGAGGCCGTGGTGTAAATGCCATAGGTGCTGGGTTGTGGCCTGTCAGAATCTTGTGGAGTCTGTACTGACATACCAGGGGGTCTGCTCAGCACAGAGTAGGTGGCATCTGTTGGCAGGGGGAGGAGGGGGCAAAGCCTGCTGGGGAGGGAGGCAACATCACGGTCCTTGGAAACCAGAGGGTGGGTCTGGCTGACGCGACCCATGAACCTGGCGAGAAAACTTAGCTATAGAATGGGCACTCGGTCACAGCTGGGAGAAGACAGAGCTACCAGTGTGATCACAGCTCAGTATGAGTGGTCCCTGAGAGAGGAAGCATGCCCAGGCCATACTGAGGCCATCTTTTCAATGTTTAAGACTCAAGTTACTCTAAAGCTACATGTTTGAATACACCAGTCACACTAGCCATATGTAGTGATTTAAATGCAAATGATCATTAATTTAAAAAATAAATCCAGTTGCAGCAGCCACAGTGCCAGTGCTGAATGGCCACACGGGACTACTGGCTACCCCCAAGGGACAGCACAGATCCAGACCACGTCCCCCCTGCAGGAATCCTATTGGGTGGGGCTGCTCCAGAGCCCAAGCCTCGGTTAAAGTTTTGTTATTAATGACCGCTTATTCAGCTCTAGCAGATTTGTATGAGTTCTGATAAAGTATACTTGTTATTAAACTGAGACCAAGTTCAATGGTATTGTCTACTTTTTAACATTTTCATAATGTCCATTTCCTTATCATAACATTCAATTTTTATTATCCAGATCCTATTATTTTGCAAAGAATATCATATCCTAGAGTCTTGAAGTTCTCTTCTTGGGTCATAACCCTGGGTCTGATTCCCATGATGAATGATGGGAAGGGTGTTGGTGCCACTGCCCAGGAGAGACCAAACTGCTCTCTGAGGTAAGGGTGGAAAGTCTGTCTCTCTCTTGGGTCACTCTGGGCCTTGGCCAGACACAGTATGAAGTGGGCAAGGGGGGTTGGTCAGGCCCACCGTCTTGAAATTGGGGGTCCTGCGGTATGAGAAGGCAAGTCCATGGCAGGGCACTCGGAAAGCAGAGCTTGTTCCCGAGGACAGACTCGGGAGCTTCCTGGTGCGCTCAGATGTGTCCAGAGCATGTGGCCTGTGGCCGTCTCCCTCTGTCCTACATGGCATCGGTCTCCTGCACAGACACAGCTGACGGGCATGTGCTGGTGGCCAGGAGACACCTGGAACCACTGGTGGTTCTGAGCACTGAATCCAACCTCCTGGGAATCCAGGAAAACTGTGACATCTACTGTGGTCTACAGAGGAGGGGACTGTACCACATTCTGTGGTAGAACTAAATCTCAGATTACATTCATCCCACCTCCATGTGAGTCTCCTTCCTGTGCTCTCACCACAATTGAGAAATGGGTGACTATCTTCCACTCCTTTCATATTCATATAAAATTCAAATTTCCCTTTGAATCCTTGTTTTTCTATTCTTTATTTGATTTCTTATTCAGCTTAAAAAATTTTTTTTTACTTATTCATTTAGGTTTTCTCTTTTCCACATTTATCCTATTTTTATATCATAGTTTTCATCTAGCATTGGCCTGTCACTGTTCCGGTGCTTTGCAAGAGTAGTAGACAGGGAACTAAAGAGCAATTACTTCAGTCCCAATGTTCTAAAAGTCTGAGAACTCATGTTTTTACTTCAGGAAAATTCTCAGCAAGTACGTCTTCAAATTATTTTCTCTGATATTTCTTCTAGGAATTCTGTTAGTTGGGTGTCAGTGTCTTTAAAGATTCTTAACTGTAGTTTATAGATTTTATCTTTTTATTTTTCTGTGCTGTCTTCTGGGCTAATTCCCCCAGGACCATCTTCCAGTTCACTAATTTGCTCTCTGACCATGTCTAGTTAGAGTTCATACCTCTTTTATTTTTTTCGTTTTATATAAATTACTATATTTTTAACTTCTAAGCTTTCTTTTTATGGTATTTTTCATAATTATCTCTTCTTATTCTATTTCTGTATGATTCTGGGTTTTAGTTTCCCCATCTTCGAAGTCAGAAGATGGACACAGTTAAATTTAAAGTTTTGTTTTCTTTTTGTTTGTTTTTAGCTCAAGCAACCAAATTACTGAGTCAGTTAAAGGACAATATAATTTTATTCCATTATAAAAGGTCTATTAATAGAGCAAAGAATTAATTTATTAAAATATGTGCAAGAGAATATACATTATATATGGATTAATAAAAAGCTAGTGTTCTCATAATAGATTCTAGTTACTTACTAGTTGTCAAATTAGAGTATTTCCTAACTATCAAATTTTAAATTTGGCAACTAGTACTGATGAGATGAAGTATCCAACTTGAAAACGTCATGGAGTGTGAAGACTGAGTTTTGGTTATGGACAAACTTTACGTGGACTAAGGAACAATTACAAGCTCTAGAAACAGTTGCCACGGACAGCTAGCCTGGTGTACAGCCCAGCAAAGGTCTCACCGAGCAAGTCAGAGGCTGAGGAGCTTGCGGCATCAGCGTGGGTCTTCTTCAGACTGGAGAGTCGGGGCCACCGTCATCCCCGAGAGAGACTCAAGGATGGCTCCTCAGAAAGGCATTACTTTTTCTTCTTTTTCTCCTTTTTCCCCTTCTTTTGTCCTTTATCCTTTGCAGTTCCTGTGTTCCCTCCCATCAATGCCAAGGCACGCTTTTTACCCATAGGGGTTTTGGCATACCAGTTCTGAAACAAAACAAATATTTAGGAAAATGTCAAAATGACGTGAATGCACTGGAATACTCTTAAAAAACAGAGAAGATCTTGCTAAGATGGAAGGGGCAAGCTGCCATTAAACTTTGGGCATTTAATGTATGTTTAATACAAATTCTTTGTCACTGGTATTTCTATGCAATTTGGGGCTTCTACTCAAAGAGTTAATGGTTTCAGAGAACCATAGGCTTAATCTAACCAACAGCGCTTGCCGATGAAGTCACCTGTCTCCCAGAGTCTTACTCTATCCCGGGGTGTGGGTTTTCTTGCTAATGTGAATGGCCCCTCTGGTGCACAGAAGCTGCTAGAAGTTGGACTGGTGTCCGTGTTGCACCATGGGAGATTAGACGAACACTCTAAGGGAGACCACTGAAAACATGGCAGGAATATTGGAGCCAAAATATCAACAAAGCAGTTAATTAATTGCACTCGGGCCCGTGATGGCATTTTCCTCAGCCTTCACATTTTGTTTGAAACCTGAGAAACATTTTGGTTTATAAACTTTGTAGTAGTAATATTTCTTTCTTTTTAAAAAATATATTTTTATTGATTTCAGAGGGGAGAGACAGAGAGAGAGAGAGAGAGAGAGAGGAGAGAAACATCAATGATGAGAGAGAATCATTGATCGGTTGCCTCCTGCAAGTCCCATGCTGGGGATCGAGCCTGTAACCTGGGCATGTGCCCTGACCGGGAATCAAACCATGACCTTCTGGTTCATAGGTTGATGCTCAACCACTGAGCCACGCCGGCTGGGCTGTAGTAGTAATATTTCACTGAATGACTATACTATACATTATTTATCAATGCTCTAGTTGCTGACATATAGGTTATTTCCAATTTTTTATTAATATGAATGATGTTGAAATTCACAACTTTTACATATCTCCTTATACACATGAGAAAACGTCTCTAGGGCATATACATAGAAATAGGATTCCTGGGGTTGTAGGTCATGAGCATCTTTAATTTACTTACTATGTTCAGATTGCTCTCTGAAGCAGCTGTGAGTGGGAAACTACCTCAGTCTCTGTATGTGTTGAGATGTTATTTTCTCCTGTCTCTTGGATGCGAGCTGAGCTGGATATAATTTTAGGTTGACAGTTGTTTTTCCTCAGCACTTTGCAGAAATGACCTCAGTGTTTTCTGGCATCTCTTGTGGTCAGAGAGCTGACTGATTTCCTAAATGTTATTTCTTTGTAGGTAATCTGGTATCTTTTAAGACTCGTCTGTGGTCTTGTTCCCAGGTTTCCAATAATGGATGTAGGAGTAGATTTATTTTTATTTGTTCTGCTGGTCCCTTGGAGTATATTTTTAATCTAAAACTCATGCCTTTAGTTCAGAAAAATTCTCAGCAAGTATTTCTTCAAAATTATTGTTCCTCAAATTATTTCTTCTCTTGCTTTCTTCAAAAATCCTCTCTTAGTTGGGTGTAATGCCTTTAAAGGCTCTTGATTACATTTCATAGGTGTTAGCGTCTTGTTTCTCTGTGCTGCCTTCTGGGCAGTGCCCAGGACCATCCCCCAGTTCACTAATCTGCTTTTGACCATGTCTAGTCTAGAGTTCATACCTCTTTTATTTCCCCCATATATGTTAGTGACTATATTTTTAATTTCTACACTTTCCTTTTGCAATTGTTTTCATAATGAGCTCTTCTGATTCTATTTCTCCATCTTTGTTTCAAAACTTTGTGTATACCTCTAATGGAAAGTTATGCCTTCATTTATTTTCTTGAACATCTGCATTATATAAATTTCAACTTTTTTTTCCAGATTATGCTTAGAATTAGATTTCCTAAAATGTTTGGAATTTTGATTTTCAGATGCATTTTGAGTAGGAGGGTTTGCTTTGGTCTCTTCCTCTCTCGTTACTCCTCCCTCCCTAGCAGTATTGCAGTTGTTCCTACCCAGGCCTCTCAACCCAGATGCAGATTTTATAATGATGCTGATGGCGTCTGGAAGCGGGTCCTCCTGGGTGATATGGGGAGACCAGAGAGCCTGTCACAGAAGCAGCAGGGCTGCTACTTCATCTGCCACGACTCAATCTCATTTGTGTTCTGTGCCTTGTTTCTCTCTTTGCTGCACGCCAGGCTTCTGACTGCTCCTGCATTGGAGACTTTTCTTGGTTTCTGGTGCTCAGGGATCTTCTCATCCTTCTTTGAACTTTGGCTAACATGTAAGGGGAGGTGGCCAAGTACTTAGGTGATGATTCATTGAGACACAGTAGAGAATATGGGTAATGGAATTGGCTTTTAGCTTTGGAATAAGGTTTGAATTTCAGTCTCCTCCTTTCTAGCTGTGTGACCTGGAACAAAGGTCCCTTTGACTCTTGCTTATATGGAAAGTTATGCCTTCATTTATTTTCTTGAACATCTGCATTATATAAATTTCAACTTTTTTTTCCAGATTATGCTTAGAATTAGATTTCCTAAAATGTTTGGAATTTTGATTTTCAGATGCATTTTGAGTAGGAGGGTTTGCTTTGGTCTCTTCCTCTCTCGTTACTCCTCCCTCCCTAGCAGTATTGCAGTTGTTCCTACCCAGGCCTCTCAACCCAGATGCAGATTTTATAATGATGCTGATGGCGTCTGGAAGCGGGTCCTCCTGGGTGATATGGGGAGACCAGAGAGCCTGTCACAGAAGCAGCAGGGCTGCTACTTCATCTGCCACGACTCAATCTCATTTGTGTTCTGTGCCTTGTTTCTCTCTTTGCTGCACGCCAGGCTTCTGACTGCTCCTGCATTGGAGACTTTTCTTGGTTTCTGGTGCTCAGGGATCTTCTCATCCTTCTTTGAACTTTGGCTAACATGTAAGGGGAGGTGGCCAAGTACTTAGGTGATGATTCATTGAGACACAGTAGAGAATATGGGTAATGGAATTGGCTTTTAGCTTTGGAATAAGGTTTGAATTTCAGTCTCCTCCTTTCTAGCTGTGTGACCTGGAACAAAGGTCCCTTTGACTCTTGCTTATTTTTTTTTCTTCTGTAGCAAAGTACCACAAACTTCGTGGTTTAAAACAGAACATTATCTTCTATTTCTGCAGGTCAGATGTCCAAAATGGGTCTCCCTGGGCTGACATCAGGGGTCTGCAGGCCGTGCTCCCTCCTGAAGGGTCCAGGGGAGGGCAGCTCCCTCGCCCTCTGCAGTTTTCAGAGACCACCTGCTTTCTTGGCTTGTGGGCCCCCCTCCGTCCTCAAGCTGGTGACACTGGGCACCCAAGTCTTTCTCCTGTTGCTCTCTCTCTGGTTCTTTCTTCTGATCCCTTCCTCTTACTTCTGATGATCACAGTGGACTCCCAGGGACAAGCCAGGATAGCCTTCCCATTTTAGGGTCCACTACTTAGCAACCTTAATTTGACCTGCTCCCTGAATCTCCCTTTCCCAGGTAAACTCACATATTCACATGCTTCAGGGACTAGGATATACATGTCTTTGGGGGGCCATTATTCCGCCTCCCACATATCTCCATAACTCAGTTTCCTCATTTGTAAAATAGGGGGCTAAATGAGTTATAGAGTGTCTGGCACATAAGTAGTCAATATGTATGAGCTAACAGTATTCTGATTATTACACTATTATCACTCAATATTTCCTCCATCATGTCTACGGTGCAGGGACAACGTATTTGGAGGCTCCGTGAGACCTCAGTCTGACACGTTGTCAGAGCACAGGTCAGGTTTGTCAGGACAGAAGTGACCGGCTGGTTACAAGCAGCTATAGCCACAGTGTCAGATTATTCAAGAGTGTGACAGGGCCACTCCATCTATCTAACTGCTCAGGAAACTTGCCCCTAAACAAGTTTGTTGAACAGGCAGATGGGGCAGGCACTGTGCCCAGCCCTGCAGCTATGAATGGGCAGCAGAAGTGAATTTGGGGGGCGGGGGGAGGAAGATGGTGGTAAAATGATATAGTTTCCTTAAACAATGAAGTGATCAAATAGGCCGAGAACGAATGTGAGAAGCCTATGTGTTCTCATCCCAGGGTATGAAATGGTAGCATTTACTTCTCTTGAGTTGTATGATCAGTTATATGGTAGTTACTGGGCCCCAGGAACCAAGGGATCATTTTGCAAAGTGGAAAACACGGCTCAGAGAAAGCATAGGTACTTTATCACCCTAAACTTTGCTCCTCCAAATAAGGAAGAAAATGATATTTTAGGAAAAAGGAAAAGAAAATTTGGAATTTCAGAGAAAAATATGATATATCCCTTGAAGAGGATAAATATTTATCATTAATACCAGCAAGGCTTGAATAGTTAACAAGAATAGGAATGCAAATGCCTGGCAAAAACTCAGCTTGGAGTGGAAATATCTTTTTCCAGTTTTGCTGGCTCGTGGCTCAGCAAACTATGGCCCATGAGCCTGATCTGGCCTGCTGCCTGTCTCTGCAAATAAAGTTTTATTGGAACCCAGCCATGTCCATCATTCACCTACTGTGGGTGGATGCTTTCGCGCCATGATGCAAAATCGGACAGTTGTGACAGGGACTGCATAGCTCTCAAAGCCTAAAAGAGCTGCTGTCGGGGCCGGTACGGGAAAAGTTTGCCAACCACTGTGCCAGGTCATCCTCCAGGGGATCAGCATTGTGACTATTTCCCACCTCCCCTTGAAGCATTCGTGGCAAAGCAGGAGGGAAACACAGTTTTCGAGTGGATGGGACAGGTTACAGTGTGAGGGACTCTTCCTAATCTCAAGCTTCCAGAGCCTGCGGTGAGGGAGAATTCAGATCCTCTCTCTAACGGTGGAGTGGCTGATATCGGGGTGGGCAACACTGCATGGGTATCATTTTCCTCCCTTGTCTTCCCAGTCGGGCAAGAACTATATGCAGGTCCAGAAAGAGGACATTGCATTCCTCTGGATGAAAAGCACTTTGAGGAGTGCCCGCTGCCTGGGCTTCGGGGGGCAGGCTGCTAATGTGCTTGGATAAGGAGGGACAGAGCCTCTGTAACTCCCTTTCCTCCTATAGAAGACAGGTTGGGAAAAGTTGGTTCTCCAAGTCTCCTCCAGACCTAGGGAAGTCTGAACATCTCAGAATGTATTCAAACATTAGAAAACTAAATTTTGGTGTGTTCTCCTAATAGGTGTGATTTCCTATTGCTGGTGCCTGAAAATTCAAGTGGACCACGGCAAGTATGGGACAAAAACAGCATTGTTTGTAACATAGGGAATGGTCTTCTCTATGCAAGACTTGTTCCATTGCCTGAAATATGAAGTGAAAACCAGGGAGAAACAAGACCGGGCGTGTGTGCAGGTGCATGTGTGCAGGCATGTGTGTACATGTGTGCAAGTGTGTGTGTGTATGAACCCAATAGTATTGATGCTGCTACTCAATTCTGCAGTCTGGCTGCTAATTTATAAGATCACGGACCATGATGTTCTTAAAATTTGGAGGGCACATGTTTTACTGCTCAGGATGGAAAGAGTTTGTGACCCACAAATTCCATTGCATATGGCAGAGTTCAAATTCCTGCCATCCAGGGCGGGTTGGCTGCTGAGACCATAGGGGCTCCATTTACCTTAAAGCTGTCTTCTTCCTCTTGGTATATGGGGTCCATGGTGCTGAGAGCCCCAATGAACTCCACGGCGACGAGCGGCTTCTGCTGCTGCTGCCGGAGTCTCCGGTCAGTGAGCACACTCCTCACCACCCGGACGATGTGTCCCTGGGTGAAGCCATCGGTGACCTTCGCCAGGCAACTTATGTTCAAGGCACTCGTGATGACTCCTCCATGGCGCTGAATGATCTGCTGCCACAACACTGTTGTTTCAGAGACGGTGGGAGAGACAGAGAGAACAGAGAAGGCAGGATTAATCCGGGTCTCTGCACAAAGCTGCATTGCCTGGATAGGCTCAGGTCCCTGTGGGTGTGAGACACCTTGTATTAAATAGAGCAACTCGACCCTTATTCTCTGCCCCCAACAACTGTGAACACACGCAGCCTGATTGACCTACCAGACGGGAGCCCAGCTGTTCTCTGGGTGAGTGGGACCCGGGGCAACCGAGAGATCTCAGGACACAGGGTGTCGTGAACATGAATTTTGAAGTGACTCTTGAGGTTTACTTAACTAAGAGAATGGACGCCACGCTCTATCGGAGATAATACTACACTTAGAGAACCATGCCCGTTCTGGAAAGACAGGGTGTGCGTGAGGGTCATGGTAACTGGTGCGCCCGCAGGCAGACGGGAGGCCATCGGCAAGGCCACCTGCCTCAGAGCCGGAAAGATCTGCTCAAACATCTCTAAAGCATTTCGACCTTCTTGGAGGAATATTTAAAACTTTTTACAAAGGCAACCATTGCCACCTGATCTGAGCACCGTTGGGTCTATGAAGTGACCACGTCATCCAACCATGTGGATTCAAAAAAGCTCAGTGAAACGCGAAGTTCTAACTACTGCCAAGGAATGAATGATGGGCAATGTCACTGTGACCACATTGGAGCCTGGCATTGAGGCCATGAGTTATGCCAACGCTTCACCTCCACTGTCCTCTTTGGCGGGGGTCCTTGGCCAGGTGGTGAGCTGAGGTGCTGGGAGGGGACACTCTGCCACAGGGCCTGCTGGTGTCTCCAAAATGTGGAAGGTTAGGCTTCAAGGTTGGAGAGTCAGGGCAAGGAGTGCAGCCAGAGCTCCAAGGACCTCAAATTGGCCCCTACAGCAACATCTCACTCCCCGGACCTACTGCCTGGTGGGTGTGTGTGAGCTGGAGCCTGCCTTGGGGTTCCCTGGAACATGGGTCGGGGGAAGGCTGCGTGAGAAATCAGGATGTCTGCCGAGCACCTGGGAGACCGCTGTTCTTGCGCAGGGAGGGCATGTTGTTTCTGTAGCTGCGTCAGTGTTGTTTTAGTAATAATAATTATTATTATTAGTCATTCTGGTTTGTGTCAAAGTTCCCTACTGCTCATTACACGTCAGTTATAGGAAATCATGCAAAATACACTAAAAGCTATTTCAAAGCTACTTGTGTAAAGACAGATTGCAGAGGTAGGAAGTGCCCTTATCAGAATATGACTGCTGGAGGGTGAGACACCAGAAGCCACAGCCCATGGTCAAAACAAACCACCACAGACAGACAGCATCGTTCCAGGGATCTGGTCTATCTCCTGCCCAAATTCATGGCATCTGAAAAAGTGCAGCAGCTTGGAGTGCTGACTGGACGCCGAGAAGGGAACGCGTTTTATGGGCGAGTCTCAGGGGTAGTCCTTAAAGCTGAGGACCGGTGGGTACCCCAGGCTGGGGACCCAGAACAACTTCATCCGTGGGCACCCATGGGCCAATGCCCACCTGCAGCACAGAGCGGACTGGCCAAGGGCACCAACAGCAAATACTCCGCACTCCCCCTGCCAACCATTGAGCTACGACAGACCCTGTCATCCCCCTTCCGACATGAGGAATGTCTACAAGTAAAGATTCATGAACCGTGGAGCAAAGACCTACACGGACTCTGGTCTGGCGTGTACGTGTAAACACACCATTGACCATCTAAGTGTATGATTCTTGGTACTCGTGTAGAATTTGGTCAAGATTCCTCAAGATTGGTTACTTCAAAGCTCACCAGTGTTCCATGGAGGCGCAGTAAGGGGCTCTGGGGATGCGTCACGGTAACCGTGGGACCTGCCCTCTAGCCCAGAGCCACCTCTACACTTAGATCCCAGATCCAGAGAAAGGGAAAGGCAACCAGGTTTGACGTCCTTTTCGTGTTAGATGAACTGGACATATCAGCCTTTGAAAGAACAGCCTCGCTGCTTTGACAAAGCCACCGGCTCATTCTTGACCTTAACTACCTGCTGTGGGGCTGTGAGGGGGCCGAGGAGAGTGAGTCACAGCCTGGTGGGCACATGGAGGCGGCGGGAGCCACCAGCAGGCTGCTGAGTCTGTAGCCCACGGAGAACACAAGAGCAGGACAGGCCCAGGGCCAACAATGAGCGTGGCCGTGAGGACTGGGGCCAGGGAACCGAGGGTGGGAGGGCCGAAGGCAGCAGAGGGGCCCTCCCGACCGAGCGATATATTATTTACTTTCCTCTCCCAGATGCAAAAGGCACCTCAGTTCTCCAGCTAATGGACACCCTCCCCACTCCCTGGACTGGAAGGGACCAGGCATCGGGACTTCGGGTCTCCTCTTCTGATTCTGAATCCAAACTTATTCCACCCTGGCTGGTGCTCCATGACACAGTAACTTAAAGTTCGTGTTTATTTGGGATTTCGCAGAAGCATGAGGGGTAAGTAATATACTATGGATGAGCTTCTGGCCGCTGCAGCCTAGAAGTCCAGGAAAATCAGAAGATGTGGGCAGGACTCACCTGAGCAGACACCGGGTCCAGGATGGGGGCCTGTGATGAATTCGGTTATTAGCAAAACAGACCCCAGGGAAGAGAGGCAAGAGGAGCAGCATTAGGAAAGCGGAGAGAAGGAAGCCCAAAGGGATTTCTGGGGACCAGACAGGCATTAATCAACCTTGGGGCGGGTTTTCTCTGCAGAGACATTTGGGAGGAAACAGCTTGATTTGGGGCAAGAAGGTAGATACTGAGTTAGATCTGGTAAACCTTAAGGACTGCGCTTCCTTGGGCTGACCCACCCTTCTGCGCTCGGCCTAGTCCCTCCTTGATGCTGCCTCAAGGATGTGACGGTGGACTGGGACTGCTCCTTACCCCTTCGGCTCTGGGCCGGGAGATGGATGGCTGAGCAAAGGCCCCCATTATGGATTTGCAGCCTGTGCGTATGGGCTGGAAGAGACCATTTTGATCACTGCAAAGACAGGAACAGTCTTTCTGTGAGATGGACGTCCCAGCCGCGGTGGCTAGGAATACTCCGCAGCCACTGGAGGAAATGTTGGGCAGCATTTGTGATGCCCGAAAAATGGCGGCCTGAACAAATCCCCCCCAAGAAGGAAATACGTGAGAAGCGTGTGCTGTAGTGGACAGAGCTCTGGGCCCACGACAACTGCCGTGTGCAGGATGGCCACCTGCCCACAGGTACGGGACGCTTTCTCCTTCCTCCCCCATGACGCTGTCTTGAGGAGACTCAGGTGGGAATCTGCAGATCTAGTCCTTAGAGGTGACTGGCATTTTATTAAAAGAACACAACTGTCTTTTTTGTACACCAAATAGCTTCACCTTTAAAGAGCCCATGGTTTTGTCAAACAATAGAAACTATTCAACCCAAAGTGAAGGATAATACCCTATTTTATTCCACTAAGATAACATTAAGAGTGATATGTGTATATATATATATATATATATAGAGAGAGAGAGAGAGAGAGAGAGGGAAGAGGAAGAGGAGGAGGAGGAGGAGGAGGAAGAAGAAGGAGAAGAAGAAGGAGAAAAAGAAGGAGGAGGAAGAGGTGGAGAAAAAGGCATAAGAAAGGACACCTGGCCAAGGGGAGTGAGGAATGAGTGGGAAAGCTCCGATAAGGCCAGGAGCATGGGGTCCTCCACACTGAGTCAGTGGGCTGACACGGCTGTGGTCACCCATTTCTGTGCTGACGCCTTCCTTGGCTGGACTACACACCCCTCCCGCCTTGAACCTTGTGGGGCCATGTGACTCATTCTGGCCAATGTAATATGGGTGGAAGAACAGTTGGCCTTCCCAGTCTGGTCCCTAAAATCTCCTTTGAGACTGTCCATACTGTCTTTCTCCCTTTCCTTTGATGCTGGTTGGATGCAAAGGACTGAGTGGAGGTCCTAGAAGATGAAGAAGTCACTAGATGGATGGAGAAAGAACTGGGACCTGAGTCCTCCTGTACTTTTTGTATAACATGGATTTATGAAGCCAGGACCATAACTTATCAAGACAGAAATGAGCGCACATTGCAAATGGGGTGGCTAAGCTAGGAGTTTGTAATAGGTGGGGAGGAGAGAGTTGTGCTTTTAGCTGACCAGGAGTTCAAGACCAACCAGAAAGGACCCCATATCCCCTCTATTTTGATGGTGCTACTGTGACTGGCTAAGGATGAATAGAAACTAAGTCTGACCTAGTCATTTTTATAATTATCATGAATACTAAACACCGCGACCATGTCACCATGGCCACCGTCTCCTCTACCTCTCCTGCCACTGTGACCCCCATCATCTCCATTAGAGCCACACTGCCACCCCTATCACCATCTCTACACTGAATTCACCACCACCACCTGCCACTGCGGGAGATGAAGGTGACCCCTCAATGAGCCACATGTGTGGTATTCACACCTGTGTACCTACTGCCCTTGAATGTGGGCTGGCCCTGCGAGTGGCTCTTGACCAGTCCGAGGCGGTAGAGTGACTCTGTGTGACTTCCAATACCGGGCCACAGGAATCCTTCCACATCTGCCCGGACCTCTCAAAATGTTGCTCTTAGGATGCTCCCCCTGGGACCATCGGCTGTGCTGTGCAAAGCCACACGCAGAGGATAGGTAGAGGCTGTCCGGGCGACAGCTGTCCAGTTGACAGCTGAGCCAGTGGTGGCCAGTATCAACTCCGTCACAGGGCTGAGCCACCTCGGAGGTCCAGCCTGTCCAGTCTCCCGATGAGCAGAGCCCCACCTGACATCTGACAGCAAAGTGCTGAGAAGCTCAGGGAGAACTCCCAGCGGAGCCTGTGTGCCCTCAGGACCACAAAGGCAGATCGTGTTGTTTTCAGCCCTGGGGAGGTGACTCACAGCTGCAGAGAGCCCCCCTCCTCAACCCTACAGATGGCCTTCTTCCCTCTCCACCACCAAGCCCATGCTCTTCTGGGGGCGGATTTGGTGCTAGACATTCTGCCAACCACCTCCGGCCAGGGCTACAACGGCCCTGAGACATAACCATTCCCCTGCTCTGCAGAGAACATGGTGTCTCAAAAGTCAACTGAGGTGTCAAGGTCACCCCACTGTTCCCTGTCTGAGCCCGTCCTGGCTCTTTCCAGTCGGGCCCCACTGCCCTCAGGGTCTCTTCCTACTATTGTTCCCATCAAAAATGCTTCAAAAGAAGTGGAATTTGAATCTATCTTTTCAAGAATAAAAAAATTGAAAAAGTGAGCTTTTGTTGTATTTAGTGTTTAAGTGAGTCAACATGTTCCTAGAGTAGACTCACTCTTCAAGACTGAAAAAATAACAAGAGTGACCCAGTGTAAAGAAATGGTTTTATACGAGAAAGACACCGTCACCGTGGGTACAACACGAGACGAGTGACCACACTCTACTCTTCATAAGAAACATTTGCACCCACGAGGGCTTTGTCACGTTCAGGGCCCAAAATACTAATCGCTGCCCAGTGTCCTTAGCTCTCGGGTAAAAAGAAGTTGTGTTAACAACAGAGCAGAGATGCATGTTTTGCTCTGTGACCCAGCGATTTACATTCGTGGCACCGAGCTCAGCTGACATCGGTGCGCACGCCACTCTAGGGACATCACCGGGCGATGACTGGGTGCCTGGGCCACCCTCCCAGCACCTGACAGCCCAGCCTCGGCCACTGCTCAGGGGCGGCCGGGGTACTTGCCGTATCTGGACGCATAGTCTGGTCTGGGAACCAAGATGATTTTTTGGTAGACTCTGCAGAAAGACTGAATTTCGGCATCGAAAGGGCGGCGTGTGGTCCCCACGATCAGAACCCTGTCGTTGGGTTTCAGGAGCTTCAGGATTTTGGGAAGGTGTTTTTTCAGGCGTTTGGGCTCGTTCTGGGAAAAAGCGAGGGGAGACAATGAGCCACGTGCAGAGAAAATGGTAAGCGGAAGACCCTGCAGCCTAGGTAGGGCGACACCAGCTCTCTAAGCACTGCCTCCCCAGCCTGGCCTGGGCTGCAGGGACCCGCTCCCTGGTCTGGGTGCCCTGACAGCAGGCGCTTCCTGTCCTCAGCCTCTGGCATTCGGAGTTGGAAGGGGTAGGAAGGAAGCACCTGCAAGGCATTCCAGCACCTCAGCCCTGAGAACGGGAAACGGCAGTGGGGTTCCCAGCGCAGGGGAGCTGGCTGGGATTGACAGTCTGCCTGCGGGGCTCCGCATCCCCTGAGCTGTTCCGAAGGGGACCCCGAGGTTTCCTCTGCTGGCCGCAGGGACAGGAGGGACGAGGTCCTGGATCTCAAGTCTGAAAACGCCCGGTTACGTGAAGGTGAAGCTGCTGCCTCTGAGGCAGTTCGGAAACCGTGTGAACCTGCGATTTTAGCAGCATCTCAGCACTAACCAGGGAGAGAAGCAAGACTTGGCCCAGGGAGAACGACTTCCATCCCAGGGGTCAGCTTTGGCCAGGTCGCCACGGAACCACGGCTCTAAGTGAACCTGGCCAGGCACAGGGCCCAGGGGGAAGGGAGGAGGAGGACGCGGTGTGAGCAGTCTGCGCAGGGACACCCCGGCTCAGTCCTGACCAGTTTTGCTCTCAGTTGGTTCAGGGGCAATGGAGCGAATTACAATGCGAATGCTGAGCTTAAGACCATGCACGGCTTCCCTGCAGCAGCCTGTGGACCCCAGCAGAGACCACACCTGTGTCTGGCCTTGTGTGTCCGCACCCTCCCCCTCCCCCCGGCAGAGAGAGCCCTGCCCGCAGGAAAGGCCGGGCACCCAGGGAAGGGAGAGGGCGTTTGATAAATGCCACTCAGGAGGAAAAGTGAAGAGCAGGTTGGGTGACAGAGCTGGTGGGGGGGGTTAAGGGGGGCAGAGCTGTGCTTGATTTGTGGGGCCTTTGGGACGATACACTGCTGGGCTCTAGAACCCTGCTCCATGGCAGGCCCACGGGCGGCCCAGTGTCTCTCCGAGTCCGGCCCCGCAGAGCTGGGAGTCAGGCCCAGGTGGTCACGCTGGAGGGTAGGGGAGCGGAGCAGAGAGGGGAGGGAGGAGTCCTCCAGGGAAGGCGGGGGCGCCCTGGGTGGGCGGCTGGACTGGGCTCTGGGCACAGGTGTCCATTCCCGTTGTGAGGCTGTCGGCCACACAGCGGCCACGTGGCTGTTCACCTTCTTCCTTCCTGCTTGACCGGGGAGAAGGCCAAGTTCTCTGTCTGGTTGCCCAGGTGCAGGGAGAGCCTGGGCCGGAAGAGCAGGACCCGGGTGGAGGGGCTGTTGGGGGAAGTCCGATGGAGGCTGCAGACACCTGGGGCGCCCCAAGGACAGCACAGGGACTCAGTTCTCCCTAACAATCCCCCTGCACTCACCCATTCTGCCAGTCAGCTGTAAGTCTCCAAGGGTAATAATACTAATAATACTAGTATGTAGCCCCCGCTGAGTGCTGACTGCAGGTGCTCCTCTTAGTGCTCGGTGTGGGCTCAATCACTTAACGCTGGCGACCCCTGTGGGTGTGAAGGGGTGTCTCGCTGTGGTTTTGGTTAGTATTTCTCTGATGGCTAACGAAGTTCAGCATCTTTTCATGTGCTTATTGGCCGTTTGCATATCTTCTTAGGGAAAATGTGTAGTCAGATCGTTTCCCCACTTTTTCCTTAAGTTACTTGCCTTTTTATTATTGAGTTGTAAGAGTTCTTTATGTATTCCAGATACAAGTCACTTAGCCGTATATGATTTTGTAGATATTTTCTCCCATTCTGTGAGTTGTCTTTGCACTTTCTCAATGATGTGCTTTACAGCAAACATTTTTTTTTTTTAGTTTTGATGAGATACTATTTAATTTTTCTTTTGTTGCTTAAGCTTTTGGTGTCCTGTCTAAGACGGGCCACATGGGAGCTTCCCAGAGTCTGGTGGGAGAACTGATCCCAGGGTCCTGGCGAAGGTGGAGACTGCCACTCTGTGGGCATAGAGACCCACTTGCACAGTCTGAGCCCCTTTCTAGCAGCCTAGTTGCCATGGTGACGATGGGGCAGTTCTTCCTGTTCTAGGGCAGAAGATGGTATTGCTACCAGTCCTGAAATGGCAGGGTCATCTGAACTTAATTAGCCTGTTTAGATATCAAATGTTGATCCTGGGCTGTGTCCAGAGTGACATTCCTGCTGGTGGTGAGACGCAGCCCCATTGGGAGGGCGGAGTGAAAGGTGAGTCCATTCAGTCAGCGCTCCCCTGCACTTGGGCCACCCCTGTTCTGGTTCAGAGCTGCATCCATTATGCAGGAGGTCCTCATGCTCATCCATCACACTAGCCAACATCCCAGTCCGACACCCCAGTGCAAACTCCACAGCCGCGCCCCTGCCGCCAGTCTGCAGCCTGCAAACCTGGCATTGTGGGCAATTTCAAAGGAGTGCCCAGCATCCCCGCAGCGATGGCAGTGTGCTTTTCTGCAGTCAGCTCCTCAAAACCACGGCACAGCCAGCTCCAAGGCTGGCCAGTCCCTCCCGGAGGCCCCACTGCGATGCCGGGAAGGCTGCTGCGAGATGAAGGAAGGAAGGGTAATGGTGCAGAAAACGCAGCCCAGACAGTGCCTCATTCCTCACCGCCTGTGCCTCAAACACCGCTGACCGGCTGTGCTGGAGCCACAGAGGGTGGAGGACAGCTCTGCCCCCAGCAGGAGGAGGAGGGGAGGGCACTGTGCAGGCCCTGGGCAGGGGTGCAGTGTACGGGGAGCCATCCTGAGAGCCTAGGCGTGGAAGGGCTTCTCCAGGGTATGGAGGACAGGGGTGTCGTGGGGAATGTGGGGATCCTGGAGCCCCGCACCTCTGGCTCTAAGACGAGAGGGCCCCAGGGTGGTTTTCAGGATGTGGTCTAGTGGCCCCGGGGATGAGGAGGGGGGCGGATGGACAGACGGAAACCAGGTGCTGGTGCTCAGGTGCGGTCCAGGTGGGGAGAAAGGTGTGGCCTCTGCATCCAAAGAGATTTGTGTCCGGGTCCCAGGGCGACCCCCGCCAGCTGTGCGCCCCTTAGAGCCTTCGTCCTCTTCTGCAAAACAGAAGGGCCACTTCCCTGACACAGACTCGGTGCCCCGGGGCCTCTGCGGCTGCCTCAGCCGTCCTGGTGTCCTGGCGGGTCCCCAGACCTGGAGCTCCAGAGCCGCACGCTGCCTGGCTCTCCTCCCTGCCTCCCTTAGGGCTCGGAGAGCCTCATGCATTTGACCACCGAGTGACCTTCACTGCGGTGAGGCATCCAGGGTGGAGTCAGTCACTGCAGGTGAGGTTTTTCCCAGTGTGATTCGGGAATCCCTCCCATCCAGGGGGCAGCCGCCGGGTGCTGCTTGTGCTGTGGCTGGGGGTGGGGTGGGGAAGCACGGCCGCTCCGGTTTCTTTGCAGGTGGAATTCTTCTCTGTGCCTCAGTGCCTTTGGGATCAGGGGAGCCTGTGGGGCAGCAGCCGGGACGGGTGGATTCCTGAGGTCGCCGAGTGATGCTGCGAGGAGCCGAGCGATGCCTCGTGGTTGCTCTCCTCTGTGATGCAGCTCGGCATTCGGTGGTCGCCTTCAGAATGTGGCTGGCCATGCTCATGGCTGCCCCGGGCCCAGAGACTTGGCTGAGGGCAAAAGCCAGAGCTGGGGGCCTGGAGAGCAGAGCTGGCCCAACCCTGGCCCTGAGTCCCTGAGGCAACAGGAACCCCTCAGCCCTGCTCTCCAAGGGGCAGGCCCAGCACCCCTTGGAGCCCTGCTCTCCTGGGGCGGGGGTGGAGTGGGGAGGAAGGGGGCGCTGGGGCTGGCCCCCACTGTGCTGGGGAAGGCTCAGGCCCCGGCTGGCCTTGTGATGATGGGGCTCGGAACCTTCTGCTGTGCTCATCAGGCGGCCTAGGGTTCCCCCCAGGGCATGGTCCATGGTTGTCAGTGCAGTGAATTCCTCCCGCGATAGACTCTTCCAGTGCAGAGGTTAAGGTACTTGCTTAAGGACACACAGCCCGCTAAGGTGAACACAGAGCCGGCCAGGAACCCTTGCTTCCGGAGTCCCCGCTGCCCACCATCTTCCTGCTCCTCAGGCTGCTGTCCAGTGGGACGTCGAGCAGCCCTTGCCCATGAGTGAGACAAAGCGTCCGATGGCATCAGGTGTGTGGCAGCGTGGGTTAAACACCGCCCGGCATTTCTCTTCAGATTTACTGTCTGGTTCCTAGTAACCCCAGCCTTCCAGTTGGCCTCTAAGTGGATTTTTTTTTCACATGTACAACTTCGCCAGCAGAGGGAGCTAACCACTAGGTTCGCAGACTAAATAATAACCGAGTCCTCGTAAGAGTCTCTAAAATGACAGGCCAATCAAGGCCCCTGTGGGGAAGGAAAGATTGAGCTTTCATTCTTCATCCAAATCATCCCTACCTGCTAACAGGGATGCATAATACATAAGGATCCAAAGTGATTAAAATCCTTACGAATTTAATCAGGAATTCGCAGTTAACCACTATTTGCTTTGGAGCAAATTGATGTGGAATAACAATCATGTATATCTGCACATTTTTTTAACGTGTGGGAAATCTGTGGTGATCTGTGGGGGGAAGTGCGGGGGTGGGGGCCATTGAAAGGAGAGAAAAGCAGGAAGGAAGCAATTGAAAGAGGGCTCCCCGGAGGCCCCGGGCGCTGCTCTCACAGTTCCATTGATGGCCTTTGTTCCTAAGTTTCAGGCCCTCTGCTATTTACTATTATGAACAATAGGAAGTCCTAATAATAACCCCTCTGTGTGCCATTTGCTCTAACGGAGCAGAGTTCCCTAAATCTCGCCCTACCTCTGACGCAGGTGACGGGGCTTTAGCTCCCCTCTCCCTCCTTCCACACAGCCCTGCATTTGCTTCTAAACGACGCCTCATGAAATCAGCCCGCTGCGTCCTTTCAGACACGGACAAGTACTGAGGGCCCAGGGAGAGGGCTGAGCCTTTCCGCCCCGTTTCCTTCCTCCCTCGAAAAAACAAGGCCTTCTTGAGAAGGAGAGGGAGCCTGGGAAGGGGCCCCCTCGGAGAAAAGCAGAGCCCAGAGTAAGCAACGCCGGGGGAGCCCTCACCATCCTCTCGGCGTTGGGTACTTTCTTGTAGAAGGTTTTCTCCGTGTCGCCGATCCACACCACGGACGGCTGGAGCTGTCGGGCCACCTGCCAGGAGAAGGAAAAGCCTCGGTTGAAATGCTATTCCGTTTTGGGTGCACGCTTGACCCCAGGGGACAGCGGGACCGGAGGGCTCCTATGCGGGCTCTTGGGGTGGCGGGGTCTGCCTTCCATCACTGCAGGGTGGGGATATCTCAAGGGTCCCGTCCCACCTGACAGGCAGGGCACACCCGACTTCAGCACCTTCTGCTCCAAGTCCCAGGCCTCTCTCCGTCTGGCTTGAAATAAGCCAATAAATAGTTTTCTGCCGCTAACCAACGGGAAACCGAGCCTTGAGTGTTAATTCCAGCCTGCCCGCGGGCCCAGGCTCATTCAGGTTTGCTCAGGGTGGGAAAGCCGTCTCAGCGCCAGGGCCCCGCGATGCCATTGGCTCGTCTCGCTTGGCTGCACAGCCGTGGCTGAGGTTTCACCGGGAAGGTGCCCTCTGGACCGGCTGGGGCTTTCTGGGCTGGTGAACAACTGCCACACACCAACCATCGCTTCAAAGTGCCCCCATGATGGCAAAGCCTGGGTAGTTTTGCACCCGTTTGTGCTTGTGCTGAACGGCGACAGACAAAAGCCGCCCACAGCCCCAGTGAGTGGCGTTACGCGCTCCTATTTTTATGTTTCTTTAAGCATCGCTAAGGCAGCAGGTGTGATTTTAGACCAATGTGGGTGTTTAGTCAATGATGGGAAAAGCACCGGGAACACTGGCGGGCTGTCTCCCGGGGCGTGGACCAAGGGGAGCGGACCGTACACTTTCAACCACCAGGTGGGTTTCCCTGGGTCCTGGTGCCCATCTGACACCGGGCTGGCCGAGTTCACAGGCCCCCACACAGGACGTCCTGAGAGGAAACAGTACCAGCCAACCACTCTTTGCTAGGTGTTATTTGTTAGAACCAGAGATTTAAGACTTCCAAACTGCACGTTTTAATACAGTCCCGAGGCCGTGGCGCGTGCTGGGCAAACAGTGGCAGTTCTGGGGCAGGCGTGTGCCAGGCCTGGGCCACACACGTGGCACATGGCCTCACATGCATGGTCAGGGCCAGCGTGGACCCGCATGTCCTCCTGCAATAACTCCTTCACCCTCCCTGCTACCCGGTGAAACAGGTACCAGTATTACCAACCCTGTATACAGACGGGGAAGCTGAGGCTCAGACGTCAAGTGACCTGTCCAAGGTCAAAGGGCTAGAAAGTGACAGAAGCTGGAGGCAGGGCCTGCAGATGGCGGCCAGGTCTGTGCTGATGTTGGCCACACCATGGGCCCCTCATGTACTTGAGCCACACACCTGAGTACCCACCTTGCCTCGCCTCCCCACATCCAACAACCCCAAAGCCTGCCCAGTCCCTAACCTCCTTCAGCTCCATCATTTATCCATTCTCTCGGCTCCTTACCATGGTGGCCTGCCCGCGGGTCAGGGTCCCAGTCAGTGCTCCAAGGGCAGCCCGAAGGGACCTTATTCCCTAGATGCTATTCTCAGTTTGTTAAAAGCTTCCCTAATCCCAGCCTCCGAGGAAAAGAAGAAAATGAGATACAGTGAGGGAAAGGCTTTAAGCTTCATAGAAAAAAGGTACTTTATTATGACAGAAGCAACATCTTATTCTTTTCAGTCCCTCTGAAAAGTATCAGTTTTAGACCCAAAACCCATGGAAAAGCAATTTTCACATAAACAGTCATCTCCTGTCTCAGCCTAACTCGTGCTCGCTCCTCTCCTACGTCCATTTGGCGAGCGATGGATTTTCCACGGTTTTTATTTGTGAGGTTCTAGTCTCTCAGTCCAGCTTTTCTTAATGGGAACGGCAGATGTGAGCACCAAGGATTTCAGGGGGACTGTTCTCTTCCTGCTTTTCACACAGTGAGCCACATGATGGACTGGGGGCGCAGGAGTCAGTAGCTGGGGATCATCTTGAAGCCGTGGGTCTTACTTCTAGGCCCCGGCTCACAGTGGGGTTGAAGTCCTGGCCACAGCATTCTGTTAAATGCGAAAGTGACCGATTGTTCCCTGAACCGCCTGCCCTCCCCGAGCCGGTGGGGGATACCACGCTTCCTGTGCGCCTGCCACACCTGCTCTGGGGCACACAGCGCC